TCATTGCAGCACTACTTACAATAGCCAGGTCATGGAAGCAACCTAAATGCCCATCGACAGATGAATGGATAAAGAAGATGTGGTACATATATACAATGGAGTATTACTCAGCCATATAAAGGAACGAAACTGGGTCATTTGTAGAGACGTGGATGAATCTAGAGACTGTCATACAGAGTGAAGTAAGTCATAAAAAGAAAACCAAATATCATATATTAATATACATATGTGGAACCTAGAAAAATGGTACAGATGAACTGGTTTACAGGGCAGAAATTGAGACAGAGATGTAGAGAACAAATGTATGGACACCAAGGGGGGATAGTGGCGGTGGAGTGGGCGGTGGTGGTGGTGGGATGAACTGGGAGACTGGGATTGACATGTATACACTAATATGTATAAAATGGATAACTCATAAGAACCTGCTGTATAAAAAAATAAAATTCAAAAATTCAAAAAAATATATAATTAGAACATTTCATCTGCATTTTTTCTAATTCGTGTTAACTTTAAATTCTTATCCTCTTCTATACTTCCCTATATATATGTTATTCCAAAAACTTGTCAAAATTATACCTTAGAGCTCAATCATCACAACTGATTTCCTACAGAACTTCACATATATTCCTATTATAACCCAGATCAGACTGCATTATAATTATTTGTATATATATCTACACAGTACATATTTGGACAGTACAAAAATCTTTTTTTCTTGAACCATTTGACAGTTAGTAGCCAAACTTATGACCCATCATCCCCAAATACCTGAGTGTGCATTTCCTATAATCAAGAATATTCTCCTATATAACCATAATACAACCATCAAAACCAGGGAATTAACACTGACACATTACTAGCATCTAATCCTCAGAACCCCATGAAGTTTACCAAATGTCCTAATAATATCCTTTATAGTAAAAGGATCCAGTTCAGAATCATTTACTCCCTTTACATTTTATGGCCCCTTAGTCTCCTTCATTCTGGAATACTCCCCAGTCTTTCTTTGACCTTCATGATCTTGACACCTTTAAATTATCAGCTAGTTATTTTGTAGTATGTGCCTCAATTTGATTTTGTCTGTTTTAGGATGATTAGATTCAGTTTACAGATCTTTGGCAGGAATATCACAGAAGTGATGCTGTGTTTTCATTATATCCTATCAGGAGGAACATGATTTTGATTTGTTGCTTGATTTAGGTAACATCTGCCAGGCTTCTTCGGTGAGAAGTTACTTTTTCCCTTTGTAATTAACAAGAGTTTTGTGGAGAGGTGCTCAACTATGTAAATAATTCTATTTGTCATTAAACTTTTAATTTACTCATTTATTAATTTATATGATTATAGACCCATGATTTCACATTTTATTCAATGGGTTATATAATCCATTACTATCATTATTTATTTCAATGCTCAAAATATCCCATCTTTGATCAGCTGGGACCTATTCAAGCTGGCTCCTTTGTACTCCTGACATGGCCTCAACCTTCACTGATCACTACTTTGCTTGCTGACAAAATAAGATATTTCGGGCTCATCATGTACTTTCCCAGCCCTATTTCTCCAAAGAGCCCTGGGTCTTTTATGTGGCAGATGGTTGTTCCAAGTCAAGATCTGGGCACAAAGTATATTCATTGCTATTATAGTGTCATTGCTTCCAGTCCATCTCATAGTTAGGTTACATATTTACATACATACAAATACATATTACACACACACACACACACACACACACAGTACCATCTACTTTTATTACCATATCTATCTATCCATCCATCTAACTATAGTAAAAACTGTATACCAGACTTTCCTGATGGTGCAGTGGTTAAGAATCTGCCTGCCAATGCAGGGGACACAGGTTCGAGCCCTGGTCCGGGAAGATCTCATATGCTGCGGAGCAACTAAGCCCGTGCGCCACAACTACCGAACCTGTGTAGAGCCCATGAGCCACAACTACTGAGCCTGTGTGCCACAACTACTGAAGCCCACACACCCACAGCCTGCGCTCTGCAACAAGAGAAGCCACCGCATGAGAAGCCCGCGCACCACGACGAAGAGTAGCTCCCACTCGCCACAACTAGAAAAAGTCCGTGTGCAGCAACGAAGACCCAATGCAGCCATAAATAAATAAATAAATTAATTAATTAAAAAACCCATAATACCTGAAATTCCAATCAACTCCACAGGGCTCATTCTTGTTTTCTCCCTTTCAGCATTTCTAACTCCCTTCACCATTTGCCTTAATATATTCAATTATGTGATCAATTCCCCTGTATATAACGAATTCCCATCACCACCACTCTTACCCCTTTTCCTACAAAGATGGCCTCCCTCCCTACACTCAGACTCCGACACTCAATACCAAATAACTCCCATGTGAGTACCTTCCCCAATCCTGCTCAAGACCTGACATTCCACACCAAACTACCCTTCCTCAGGGATGCCATCCTCAACCTATTTGGCTTTCACACTCCACAAAGAGCCACCCCTCTGCAAGAAAACCAGTGTCACTCAACTTAGGCACTAATACCCCATGCTGGACAGCTGTCCTACAGACTCCCCTCCTGCCCCACATGAGCTTCAATATCTTGCTCTCAGCCACTGCAGCTCCCCTTGCACAAGTGACAATTATGAAAAGGGTCACTGTAGTTGATGTCATCATAATTTGATTTAAACAGAGTTTAAATCAAACTGTCTTTAATATTAAATATTTAATATTATCATCAAATATGGTTGTATTTCTCTATCCATCTCTCAAGCTCTTACTGCTTACCTGCGAGCTACATTTTTGAAATAACCTGCACAAAGACATCTTCGCAGTACTTCATGTTTAGGGCCTTCAAAGGTCTCTCTTGGGAAGTCACTTTGCTATAGAAAGAATACATGTACAGTGGTAAATCTCACAGAACAATTTGAAATAATCTTTTAGTTTGAAAAATCCACATTTCTAAAGACTTCTGTTTCTGGCCAATATGGAGTAAGAAGGACCAGATTTACCCTTCTGCTTGAACCAACCAAAAAATGGACAAAGCATATGAAATAATCACCTCCAAAACACTATATATCAAGCAATAAAGGACAGTGACCTCTGAGAAAAAAATGAAGTAGGGAAAATAAATGAAGTAAGTCCAACAACTGCCCCAGCTTACAGTCAACCTTGAGAAAGATTCTGGACGAAGGTGCAGGAAAGGAAAAACCCAAGTGGAACATGGAGAACTCCCAGAGTTAAAGAGACTGAGCTGAGAATCCAGGAAGACCAGGATGGCTAAAGTTCCCAGGCCAGAGTTCAGGAGAGAAGAGATCTGCATAGAGAACTCCAGAGATATGCAGAAGGGCCTCAAGAGTTCAACTGAGTAATGGTAAGCATATGAATGTGAGGAAATTACCCAAGGCCAGGAAAAGAGCCTCCCAAAAGGATAAGGGATAACAGAGCTGTGTGCTCGCACAGGGTCAGGAACGGTGCCTGTTCCTACAAACCATTCTTCAACACCTTATAATATACATGGTTTGGGGTAGAGTACTCAGAAGGCCTTGCCAAAATGCTACTCAAGGAAAAAAAATTATAGCAATCACCTGTTTAAGCTTCCTGATCAGTTCTCTAAGTTGAGCTTCAACACGAAATGCAGAAAATAAGCACCTCCAATGAATCCAATGTTTCTGGCACCACGAAGCTGGAGCTCCACTGCAAAACAAAAATATTGGTGTCTCAAAAATATCTTCTATGAGTGAAAGACAGTCTAACGTTCTCATTTCTATTACACAACTAGAAACCCATAGGCAACTGTCAGCTCTTTTATGAGACCTGTCCAATTAATAAAAAAGCACTTTAAGGAATTTGAAAAAACAAATTAATGCGGGTGCCTCTAAGTGAATTAAAACATGATTCGTAAAATGGGTTTCTTTTTATTCATATATGCTTTAACAAGTTAATGCAGGTGCCTCTAAGTGAATTAAAACATGATTTGGAAATGGGTTCCTTTTTATTCATATACGCTTTAACAAATATCCAATCATTTTCTCAACTAAGCTACTTATACAGAGCCAAAATTCTGTAAGGTCAGTTTTCAGGAAAGGTTTAGGGGGAGAAGAAAGAAGAGAACTAATGTTATGCAATAAATGACTACTAAGTCATAGTCACCTGACAGAGAAATCCCACTAATGTTCACAAAAATACCTTGAGGTCAGTATCATTCCCACTGAACCTTACTGTCTAAAATAATATACTATATTGAAGATATATTTCAAACTAACACTTTCCAGTACGAAGAACTATCTAACATACCTTGATTTGCACTGTTCAAAGATGACAGCTAAAGTCGCAAAGTCATTAAATCCTCCAGCTTTAGCTGCCAATTCTCGATGTCTCTGTTCTGCTTCCTTCTGGTACTCTGGATCAACTAAAACGACAATTGGAAAGGCAGTTTAGTTCTACTTTACATCAAGTGCCTATATTCACTTTGTTTATTCAAGCTCATTAAAATCTGCCTTGCCCTCTGAGGTGGAATAAGGGAGAAGTACATTAACTCTTCTGGGGGGTCTCTGCTCCCACAATTCCTTTTCTTCTTTAATCACACTTTGGAGATTTTACCAGAATAGCAACATTATTCCTCCCAAAAAGTATTTAGAATTTAGTATTGGTTTTACCATAAGAGTAACCCATGCTCACAGTAAAAAATACTTACGTAAAAGTTCAATGTTCCCCACTTTGTTACATTACCCATAAACCAATCCTCAAGGCTAACCACTGTTAATTATTTAGTGTGTGTGCTTCAAGATATTTTCTATATATATACAAGCATTGTGTATAATGGTTTATTTTTACATAAGTGGGATATACCTTCTAAAATTTCCTTTATTAGTAACAGCTTAATGTAAGTACATATAGAATTATTCATTCTCAAACATACCTACATTGTATTTCTCAGGGGTATAAGGAACACAACACAATTTAACCAGACCCTATTTATCCAATTCCTAATTATGGACAATTAGGACCACCATATATGCAGAAATGAACTACGACAAACTTTTCTTTTTTAACTTTATATTGAAGTATATCATGCATACAGAAAACTACACAGGTCATAAGTGTACAGGTCAATGAGTGGTCACAAATATAACATACCAATGTACCCAACACCCAGATCAACAAGCAGATTACCAGCATCCCAGAGCCCTTTTTTTGCTCTCCTTCCAATAACTACCCATTCCCGTCCACAAGGATAACCCATATCCTGACTTCTAACCCCAAAGAAGTGTTTTGCCTGTTTCTAAACTTAACCCCCCCCCTTTTTGTCAAAAGGTCCTAGGGCTTCTTCCCTCATTGTAGGGCATCAAACCCCCACCCTACTCGTTCAGTATGCCCATCGCAGCTAGATTTGGCAGAGGCACCATGCTGCCCAATTCCAGGCAGCAGCACTTAGACAGACTACAACGTGAATGTGCAAAGCATCAGTTCCTGGTATTAGGAAGAAAGCAATCTGATTAAATGAAACACTCACGGAGATATAAAGTCTTCTATCCCAGGCTTTAAGTGGCTTCCACCTATGTGACCTGGGTAACAACTGAAGGAAGCAGCTAGAGACAAAAGGAGAGCAAATATGGCCATACAAATGGCCCTGCCAAGGTGAAGATATAATGACTATCTCTTGAACCAGTCATGGATATTGATTTTTAAGCCAAAACATCTAATTTCATGCACCCAAACACCACTGCCCAGGAGGTACTATGCACTAGACTCAAGCATCAACTCCGTCTTGGCTCCAACACTAACAGACAAGCCTATCTATCAGCCAGGGGCTGCTGCATCCTTGAACTGTGGTATCCCTGCTATACAAATGTAAAGTCCCAGCCTCCTCTGACCTCTGGGCTATGAAGTCTCAGAGAAGCTTCCTATTATGGTTCAGTTCTTCTCTTCTCTGCCTCCAGCTGACCCTAGAAATGTTCAATTTAGCTGTAATACCTACTACAACAATTTACACAAATGGCTTACCATCTCTTAATAAAATGTCATAATAACTACAATAAATTTTAGTGGATTACAATTCTAAACTCAGTTTATATTCTGTAAAGATTAACTCTGCATGGTTAGTGTTGGATCTCTGTTGTTTAAAGAGTGGCTACCTGTTCACACTTTAAAAAATGTAGAGAGCACACTGCTTTTCTGGCTGTCCTTCCCACATTGCAACTACCTTCTCTCTGTCTCTCTCTCTCCCCCTGTTATTCTCAAAGTCAAGAGAAAATACAGAACATATTTTTGTTCCTTTTCCCTATCTCTTCTCTCAAAAATAACCTAATTAATTAAAATTAAAACTGGCAGAAGTCCCATAGTAAATTCAGGATTTCTATAGGAAAGTAAAAAACCATATCACACACAGTTCCTACAATCTCAGCAAGTTTATACTCTGACTAAACAGTAGTTTGACTATCCATCTTTAATTACTTTCCCAGCAGACTTGTCATTTTCTTTAGTTTATTATCTTTCCCCAGATTGAAATTCTATTATCAGTTTTAACTCATACAAATAATGCTACTGAGGCAAAAACTAAATAAGAAGCTGAAGCAGCAACACAAGGCTCTATCAGCTGAACTTCTCTCTTTGGGAAGATAAGTTAATACTTTTCTATATAACAACCAATCCGAAAATAAAACTATTACACAGAAAGGGTTTTAATAACAACAATCCTCAGAGCTGAAGCAGGGGAGTAAGGCTGTAAGTGACACATACACATAAAGTATGATTTATTTCTAAAAATGTCACAGTTAAAATAATTAAAAACTTAAAAACCAACACAATGTTATTTTAAATTTGTTCCATTTTAAGGCGATGCTGTTTACCACCTTAAAAACATTTAAGAGCCCTCACTCCATTGTCTGACTTCTAAAGCAATATCTATACTAGCAGACACTGTGTACACAGTTTACTAGAGCAAAATCATCATTTTGATGTTTAAAATCTTTATTCAATGTTAGATCTGAAAATACTAGCCAGTTTTACCAATAAGTATATAATAAACTAAATTAGGTGATCTACAATGACTAAGACGCAAGCCAGAAAGAAATGCTTAACCTATAAAGACTATAAATGCACTTAAAAGCAGTTGGACAATGAATACATATTTTAGGGTGTAGCAAGATCTCAGCAAGTCACATGCTCAAAAACTGAAGCTGCATTTTGTAACAGTTGAAGCCTGCTTCATCAATCCAGGTTTAAAAATTAAGCCTAGGGGTTTCCCTGGTGGCGCAATGGTTAAGAATCTGCCTGCCAATGCAGGGGACACGGGTTCAAGCCCTGGTCCGGGAAGATCCCACATGCCGCGGAGCAACTAAGCCCGTGCGCCACAACTACTGAGCCTGTGCTCTAGAGCCCGTGTGCCACAACTACTGAAGTCCGCACACCTAGAGCCTGTGCTCTGCAACAAGAGAAGCCACCGCAATGAGAAGCCTGCACACTGCAACAAAGAGTAGCCCCCACTCGCCGCAACTAGAGAAAGCTGTGCACAGGAACAAAGAACCAAAGCAGCCAAAAATAAATTAAAAAAAAAAAAATTAAGCCTAGGTCATATATGTACATATAGCGAGAGTGTCTCTTTAAGTATGAATAAGAAACAGGTAGCAATTGTTGCCTCAAGGAATCAGACCTGGATGATGCCAAGGAATGCTCTTGCCAAGGTGCCTAACTTTATTTGGATCAGACTATGGAGCAATTTATGCCCCAGGGCACTGTCAAAAACAGATCAATCAGCTACCAATCCATGGAGAATGACAGCTTGGTGTAATATCAATAGAGGCAGACCAGCAAAAATTGAAGTAGAGCAGCCAAACTATTTTTATTGAAGCATGGTTGACTTACAATATTATAATAGTTGCAGGTGTACAACAGAGTGATTCAATATTTTTATAGATTATACTCCATTTAAAGTTATTACAGGGACTTCCCTGGTGGCTCAGTGGTTGGGAATCCACCTGACAGTGCAGGGGACGTGGGTTCGAGCCCTGGTCCTGGAGGATCCCACATGCCACGGAGCAACTGGGCCCGTGTGCCACAGCTGCTGAGCCTGCGCTCTGGAGGCTGCAAGGCACAACTACTGAAGCATGTGTGCCTGGAGGCCGTGCTCTGCAACAGGAGAGGCCGCCGCAGTGAGAGTAGCCCCGAACGAAGAGTAGCCCCCACTTGCTGCAGCTGGGGAGGGCCTGCGTGCGGCAGCGAAGACCCAACACAGCCAAAAATAAATAAATAAATTTATTTTAAAAAAATAAGTTATTACAAAATAATGGCTATATCTCCCTGTGCTGTAAAATATATCCTTGTTGCTCATTTATTTTATACATAGTAGTTTGCATCTGTTAATCCCACAACACGATCTTATCCATCCCCCCTTCTCTCTTCCCACTGGTAACCACTAGTTTGTTTTCTATATCTGTGAGTCTGTTTCTGTTTTGTTATGTAAATTCATTTATTTTTTAGATTCTACATATAAGTGATAACAGAGTATTTGTCTTTCTCTGTCTGACTTATTTCATCCACATTGTTGCAAATGGCAGAATTTCATTCTTTTTTACAGCTAAGATATATCCCATTGTGTGTGTGTGTGTGTGTGTATATATATATGTGTATATATATATATATATATATATATATACACCATATCTTCTTTAACTATTCATCTGTTGATGAACACTTAGGTTGCTTCCATATCTTGGCTATTGTAAATAATGCTGCTACAATGCTATAACTGGGATACATGTTACCTTTTCAAATTAGTGTTTTCATTTTCTTCAAATGTATACCCAGAAGTGGAATTGCTGGATGATAAGGTAGTTCTATTTTTAGTTTTTTTGAGGAAACTCCATTCTGTTTTCCATACTGCATGCACCAATTTACATTCCCACCAACAGTATACTAGGGTTCCCTTTCCTCCACATCCTCGCCACATTTATTATTTGTAGACTTTTTGATGATAGTCATTCTGACAGGTGTCAAGGTGATATCTCATTGTGGTTCTGATTTGTATTTCTCTGATAATTAGCAATGTTGAGCATTTTTTCACGTACCTGTTGGGCCATCTGTATATCTTCTTTGGAATAATGTCTATTCAGATCTTCTGCACCCCCTTTTTTGCTGCAGGGCTTGTGGGATATTGTAGTTCCCCGACCAGGGACTGAACCCAAGCCCTCGACAGTAAAAGCATGGAGTCTTAACCATTGGACCATCAAGGAATTCCCCGCCCATTTTTCAATCAGGCTGTTTGTTTTTTTGATATTTAGTTGCAAGCACTATTTATATATTTTGGATATTAACCCCTTCTCAGTCATATCACTTGCAAATATTTTCTCCCATTCAGTAGGTTGTCTTTTCGTTTTGTCAATCATTTCCTTTGCTGCGTAAAAGCTTTTA